CACACACACACACACACACACACACACACACACACACACACCCCTCTGACCGTCTCAATGGCTCCAGTGTGAACCGTCCAGACCTCCATCAGAACAGAACTCTGCTGTGACCCAGACGGTCTCTGCAGGACCAACTCCATGGAACAAAGTGAACCGAACTCAACTCGGTTCTGCTCCGGTCGGTCTCGGAGAACGACCCGTTGACTAGTTAGTTAACTAGTCGAGTGCCCCGCCGGACCGCTGAACCCTAACTCCAGTGTTGCCCCCACAGCTCACCTCCCCGGACCCCGACGCTGGGCTCCAGCCGGGCCGACAGGATGACCAGCACCAGCCCGATCATGAACCACTCCTTCCGCAGCCTCGCCAGGAGGCCCATGTCTCAGCTGCTCCCGCCGGCCTCCTCGCTCTGCGGCCGGACACAACTTTCCACAACTCCGCTGCCTCCGCTCCGCTGTCACTAAACACACACCAGCCGGAGCTGCTTCCGGACACGTGGGCAGCGACGCATGCGTAAAGACTGCAGGAGAGGCGCAGCGCGTTTCCCTCCAGGTACCGTAAGACATGTAAAAGCTGCACCAGCCAGCGCACAGCCTGATCAGAACCGGAACCGGGGAGTGGACAGACACTAGAACAAACAGGCTGAATGAAGTTAAATATTCACCATCATCAGGAACGATAGTTACTGCACAGAACGTAAAAACAACCACTTGGCAACCAATTTAAACATCACAGGAACTTTATCAGCTGATTTAATCTATAATAACCTCAGACTGGATCCTGTCCACAGATGGTTCTGGTAGGTTCTGGAGGTAAAACGGTCCTTCCATTGTCTAGAACTGGTTCTGACCCAGCACCATCACACATGCTGATATGAGCCTGGAGAGTTTACCCAGAATGCACTTTGTAAAGTTTCCTCTGGTGACTGATCAGAACCAGAACCACATCCAGGGTACCAGTGATTGTTTCTATGACTCTGTGTCACAGACATTAAATTGGTACCACTATGAGACATCCCATAATACTGATGCTACCAGCTTCTGGCAGAGGACATGAACAGAACCAGGTCCAGTGTTCAGACTCTTTGGTGCTTCAAGAGCTGGACCTCTGGAACATTCACAGTCTGAAGGCAGAACTCTGGTCATTAATGAAGTTACCGCAGACACAGAACCAGATGTTCTGAGGAGGGTTGTTCAGACTGGGTTGTTCTGGTTTGACATGACCCGTTTCGGTGAGATGTTGCAGGACTGTCTGCTGCTCTGAACTGGATCTGAGTTCCGTCTGCATCGACAACAGCTCGGCTCAGAGTCTACATGTTTTCTTCTGGATGCTGGAGCGGCAGAGATCACGTGGTGGTCTGTGGTCTCTCAGCGTTTCCTTTAAATGTCACCGCAGCTGGATGGAAACTGACTCTGAGGTTCTGGATGTTTCTGTTCTTCAAAGAGTTCCTCATAAAGTTTCATGTTCAGGCTGGAACAGACAGAAGCTGTTTCCTTTCTGGCTGGATTTGCTTTGAATTCATCTCGTTTGTTCTTCTCGTTCTAATTAGTTCAGAGTGTAATTTGTCCATTAACCAGCAGCGCTTTTGAAGAGAAAAGTGAGAATGAAACCACGTTTTGTTCCACTCGTGGAGACTAATAACCAAACGGCAGCACACAGCTGGTGGTCTGTTCCTGCTGCACATTCAAAGCCTTCAGTCTTTACAGCAGCTGTGACTCCTTCTGGTCCCTCAATAAAGTCAACAAAGGCCCAACAAACAGGGAAATAAAGTCACCAGTCAGTCCAGCTGCTGTCCTCTGGTGCTGCTCTGGGTTTTCTGCTCTGACATCCTCACACTGATGAAAGTGGAACGACGGCTGTAGTGCACACAAGCAGGTAGACCTGGGTCATGGTTTGGTCCCACAGTAGCCCACGTCATGATGCTGCCACCGCCGTGCTTCACTGTCAGGACGACACATCCACCGTGGTGGTCCTGGTCCGGTTCATACCAAACATCTAGACTCCATCTGACCAGAGAATGTTCTCCAGCATGCACCAGGCTTCTTGTATGAAACACACTTTGGTGTTGAGCGTCCTGCTCGCTCACAGTTACTAATACTGGACTTGTTAGCCAGAAATGCTAATCGTTTTGCTAACTTAAATTACTTGTGTTGTTGGACGAACAAAAGGCCAGAACCTTCAACACCGTCCAGAGTTTGACCTGCAGTCCAACTACTAAACTCCTGCCTTAATGCTAACGCTGCTATTAGCCTGCACCTGGATGATAGCAACAGGTTTACTGTTGCTATCAGCTGCTAGCACAGTTAGCGCATTCATAGCCAATGACAGTTTTCTTCTTCAAAGTTTTTAGATATTGTTGGAACAACTGTCCCTGTTTTGTTCAATTATGAAAATCAATCATAAAACAAATCATTAATTTACAGGGTAACTGTAAATAAACAGGCCCAACCTGTAGCTAACGTTCTCACCCTGAACAAACAGGAACCAACCACTGCTTCACCAGATTTAAATCAGCTAAAACCCTCTCACAGATGTCTGGTGGCACGTCCACAGCAACATGACGGCGTTTCACTTCAACATGTTTCACTCACATTTTTGATTTGACTTATGTGACTGTAGTTTTCCAGTTCAAATGTTCACTCTGTGGTTTGTTCTGTCAGCAGCTTGAACACAGAACACGAGTCGACTTTTCTGTCTGAAGTATCTGTGAAGCCTTCATTCATAATGTGGGTCAGAAAGCTGCAGCAGCAGAGCAGGAGGTC